CTGAGATTCAATAAGATTAGGGCTGACCTGATTTCAACCTCAACTCTGTGTCTGCGTATCCCTGAATATCTTTCATCATCTCAGTCATCAAGAATCTGTCTGCTTCTGCCTTAAAAAAAAAGTTTAACAATCTGCAACCACTGCCTTTTGACAAAGGGAGTTACAAAGATTCACAACCCTCTTAGAGAAAAGAAATGTTCCTCACCATTTCAGATGGATTCACCCTTACCTTTAAACAATGACTATCAGTTCTAGATTCTCCCACAAAAGGGACCATGTTTTCAACATCCACGTGGTCGGCTCCCCTCAATATCTTTCAAATTTCAATTTAGTCTCCTCTTTCTTTTCTAGACTCCAGAGGATCCAGGCCCAGCCTGTCTACCCTTTCCCCATTAGGCACTCGACTCATTCTAGGTATTAGTCCATTAAATCTTCTTTGAAATGTTTCCAATGTATTAATAATAACTTTCTATAAGTACGGTGACGAGAACTGAACACAGTGGTCCAAATGCAAGTCTCACCAGTACAAAGGGGGACCGCGTGTGTGTGAAGGTGGCCCATGAATTCCCACTTGTTTACAGTAATGCTTTTCAGCAAGCTCAGGTCATTTACATTTATCCAAGTACAGGCTGACACAGGTTATGGTCAGACAGTTGTACGGTTTGTATTGTTATACAGACAGCGTTGTTGTGGTATCACTCAAACCTCCCACTCTGCTGGCCCTGCAGAAATGATGACTGGCTCAGTAGCCAGTTCCCGCAGCCTGATTTGTCCTGTATTTTTCATCTTCTGTCCTTTCAAGGACATTCATGATCGAGGTGGGTTTTTCTAACAATCCAGAAGCTTTCATTCCACTTCTGACTGTTTTAAATTTATTTTCTAGGGAATTGGAAAGGATTTACAGACAGGCAGCTCAAGTCAAAAATTGGATCAACAGCTGCCAGTAACACTCAATTCTCGAGAGCTTTGAACGTCTCAGGTAGGGAAGAAAAAAGCATCGTTCACAGTGAAGAGAAACCATACACATGGTCTGTGTGGACAAGCCTTCAGTCAATCGTCTGGCCTGTCGATACCTAAATGCAGTCAAAACAGGATGACAACAATGACATCAAGCAGCACTTGCTTTGCAATATCATTGATGGATCTCAGTTTGAGTTAAGCAAGGGCCACTCATCTCCTGATCTCCTTACATTTTTGGTGCAAACATGGACCAAACAGCTGAATTCCAAATGAGAGTGCGACTTTCCTGCCATCTTAAGGCTCTATTTGACAGAGCATTGTATCAAGGAATCATAGCAAAACTAGAGTCAACGGGATTCAGAGAATATTATTCTCGCTTTGATTGTGGGTTTTTGAAAAGATTGCGTCTTCAGACCTGAGTAGATCAAAACAAGGTGAATTTATTCAAGCTTGTACCACATATATGCGGAAAAGGTCTCCGAGTCTAGCTTGGAGATACTCTACCATTTGCAGCTCAAAACAGCATATTGAGATGTTTTCACGTCAGAATGGTTGTATATAACATTGGCTTAAAATAAATTAGATAAGTCATTTACTACAAAAACAGGATGCTGTTCAGTTTCTTACAAAGTCCTGAGTCCTCTCATTTCAACGGGTCTTCTATTTCCGCGTTATCTTCAGAGTTTCTCTGTCCCTACCATCAGCTCACAGCACACAAGCCTTTCTTTGTGAGTGATACTTAAGTGAGTATTTTTAGTTAGTAACTGCTGACAGTTCACTTATAGATATGCATTTAAACTACCTGAGACGAAAGAACTGTCATTACATAGTTGTATTTGACTCTTTGCCCTATGCTGTACTGTTCGTCTCAACTTATCTCCCACTTGTTCTGTGTTTTAATGCTCCACTCCTTTCCTTTTATATTTTTATATTCCCCTTGTACACTCTCCTATCCTCCTTGCCCGACTTCACCCTAATTGGATAATACTGAATACAGAGGAAGGTGCTTGTGATTGGTTAGAGGCCAGCTATCTCAGCTTCAGAAATTCCTCAGCATTAGTTTCTGGTCCCAAGCACCTTCAGCTGTTTCATCAATGTCCTTCCCTGCGTCATAAGGTCAGAAGTGGATCTGTTTGTCAATGATTGCACGATGTTTAGCACCATTTGTGACTCAGCTACTGTAGTGGTGGATATTTAAATGCAGTGTCCCTGGACAACATTGAAGTTAGCCTGCTATGTGACAAAGAACATTTGCACCAAGTCCCAACAACTAATGACCAAATCTGAGGAATGAAAACCTAACCATAACTCATTGACATTCAATGGTTTTATCTTCACTGAATTGCCCACTATCATCATCCTGGGGTGCTAGTAATGATGAGAAACTGAACTGGATGTGATATTTAAATATTGTGCCTACAAAAGTAGGTCAGAGGGAAAAGATTCTATCGTGATTAGTTCAACTCATGACTCCCCAAAGCCTGTGCATCATTTAAGAATGTCTGTCATTAAGAACACTGTCAATTTGCTTGGATGGATGCAGCTCCAATGACACCAAGAAACCTGACACCATCCAAGACAATGCAGTCCACTTAACTGGTGCCCCATTCAGTACATTCAGCATTTATTCCCTTCATTACTGAGGTACGGTGGCAGCAGAGTGCACTATCTACCAAATGCACTGCAGTTACTCACCCACTCTCCTTTGACCGCACTTTCCAAGCCTGCAAGCTCTTACCACCCGGAAGGACAAGAGCAGAGAATGCATCAAAACAGCACTATCTGCAAGTTCTCCTCCAGGGTGCGTACCATCCTGACTTGGAGCAGTATCAATAATGATCTCATTGAGTGGTGCAGTGAACTTGACGGGCCAAAAAGCCTGTTTCTACCCTGGATCTTCTATCATGACATTTTTTTTAAAAAAAAAGTTGACTAATGCAATGACCACACTTGTGCTCAGTCTTCCAGCTGTTCTCTGAACTGGTGTTAGCTAAAGCTCCAGCATCAACTTCCTGATCTTACAGTCCAGCCTGTGGTCGAGAACAGAAAGTATCCCAAAACCCTCTTGACCATGTGATTGTCCTGTCCAACCACCTTCAGGAATTTGTGAATGTCCACTCCAAGGTGTCTTGGTCTTTGTACCTCTACACCACTCAGCATCCCCACTTCCATTGTTCACTCTCCCTGAATTCATTATGAATCTCTTTGAATTGAATTCCGTTCATCATTCTTTTCTTTCCACCTGATTGATATCTCCCTGCAGTCCCAGGCTTTGTTCCTTATGGTTCACTACATCACGCATTGTTGCGTGTTGTCTGCAAACTTCTAAATTATGGCCCATACAACTCGGTTTTAATCATTGATCTACGTCAGGCAACAATGGAACTCCACTGGAAAAATCAGGAACAAATAAAAAACAGAAATTGCTGGAAAAACTCAACAGAATTGGCAGCATCTGTGGAGAGAAATCAAAGATAACATTTCAAGTCGAGTGACCCTCAGAACTCTACTGGAAAGTCATCCAGACATGGTTCATTCCTGGTCGGGATTAACAAAAAAATCTAACCCCTATTGTCACATGTGAATTTGCTGATGTCTCCAGAGGTTGTTTCTCTGAGTTATCTG